TCACTATATCCGGTCTCCCTTGTTGCTGCATTCACTATATCTGGTCTACCCGGACCCTGCATTCACTATACCTGGTCTACCCGGACCCTGCATCCACTATACCTGGTCTCCCCGGACCCTGCATCCACTATATCCGGTCTCCCTGGACCCTGCATCCACTATATCCGGTCTACCCGGACCCTGCATCCACTATATCCGGTCTCCCCGGACCCCGGTCTACCCGGTCTCCCCGGACCCTGCATTCACTATATCCGGTCTCCCCGGACCCGGACACCTGTCTACCCACCCTCCACTATATCCGGTCTACCCGGACCCTGCATTCACTATATCTGGTCTACCCGGACCCTGCATTCACTATATCCGGTCTACCCGGACCCTGCATTCACTATATCTGGTCTACCCGGACATTGCATTCACTATATCCAGTCTCCCACAGTACACACAACATGGAAATGCAATTATTTTAGTAAATATAAACTGCTCAATACCTTTTCTCATCAGCAGTATATTGCAGTCTTGTGACTTCTACCAGTGTCCAGCTGAGAACTGGTTAAAGCTTGTAGCAAAAAGTTTTCATTTTGCTCTAGGAGGATGCAGAACCCCTGACCTCTGTCTGGACAGTGCCAATTGTCCCTGTGCTGATCACAAGCACTCTCCCAAGGAAAAAAACCCAAAAACCTCTTTGCACATACTCAGTTTGGTGTGTATTGATAGCGTGTCTCCACATGATATGTCTTATCAGAAGAGGAGGCACTGGAAGGGGAGGATCAGAGAAAACAGGATCAAACAGCATTTTTACACAATGCAGAGGATTAACCCCTTAGATTCTACAATGGAGTATAACAAGCATGATTTACTGCATATACAGACTGATTTTACTGTTGTGGGTTTAGTAACACTTTAAGACCAACATACAGGTGTGACACAGGTACAGTGTAGGACGAGAAGGTAGGACGCGTTCTGCGCTAAAGACAGCGCTTAATCATTACCATGAATGCGCCGTCTTTCAAGCAAAACATGCCTACCTGCTCGTCCTTCACTGTACCTGTACCACCTGTATGTTGGTCTTAATGCTTCAAGTTTAATAAAGTGGATTGTTGGTGTGTAGCCATCCAGACTTCCTTTACTTCAGACCTTACTACTACTTTTACTTATAAGTTTGGTTTCCCTGAATAGGGAGAAGCTAGACAACGACAAGAGATGGCTCACCTACAGGGCTGAGACAACGACAAGAGATGGCTCACCTACAGGGCTGAGACAACGACAAGAGATGGCTCACCTACAGGGCTGAGACAACGACAAGAGATGGCTCACCTACAGGGCTGAGACAACTACAACAATTATAATCAATTGTGAAAAAAGTTGTCAACTAGTTTCATAATTTATTAGCTGCTCAAGCCAATTAGTTGGCCTGCATACAGAATGCATTATTTGTTTACATATAAAAAAAATACAGTGCAGCACACATACAGCTCAGTACACCGTCCATACATGTCAGTATTCACAGCGCAGCACACATACAGCTCAGTGCACCATCCATACATGTCAGTATACACAGCGCAGCACACATACAGCGCAGCACACCGTCCATACATGTCAGTATACACAGCGCAGCACACATACAGCGCAGCACACATACAGCTCAGTACACCGTCCATACATGTCAGTATACACAGCGCAGCACACGTACAGCTCAGTGCACCGTCCATACATGTCAGTATACACAGCGCAGCACACATACAGCGCAGACACACATACAGCTCAGTACACCGTCCATACAGGTCAGTATACACAGCGCAGCACACATACAGCGCAGCACACCTACAGCTCAGTACACCGTCCATACATGTCAGTATTCACAGCGCAGCACACATACAGCTCAGTGCACCGTCCATACATGTCAGTATACACAGCGCAGCACACATACAGCGCAGCACACATACAGCTCAGACACCGTACATACATGGTCAGTATTCACAGCGCAGCACACGTACAGCTCAGTGCACCGTCCATACATGTCAGTATACACAGCGCAGCACACATACAGCGCAGCACACATACAGCTCAGTACACCGTCCATACATGTCAGTATACACAGCGCAGCACACATACAGCGCAGCACACATACAGCTCAGTACACCGTCCATACATGTCAGTATACACAGCGCAGCACACATACAGCTCAGTGCACCGTCCATACATGTCAGTATACACAGCGCAGCACACATACAGCGCAGCACACATACAGCTCAGTACACCGTCCATACATGGCAGTATACACAGCGCAGCACACGTACAGCTCAGTGCACCGTCCATACATGTCAGTATTCACAGCGCAGCACACATACAGCTCAGTACACCCTCCATACATGTTAGTAAGTGCCTGAGAAATTGCATGAATGAATGATATAAGTTGTATATAATTACTTTCACTGTTTTCACAGTGTACCTTAACCATTCATAGTAATGATTACATGCTGTTTTTGTACTGTAAAGGGCTAATTGTTTTGACAGGTAATAAATACATTAAAAAAAAAAAAAAAAAAAAAAAAAAAAAAAACAACTTGAAAAACATTGTGGGGAGAATATTCGTACCAAACATTTTATGTACGCACAAAATTTGAAAATTTAATTCGTTTGCAATTTTAAAATGAATGTAATGTCTAACCGAAAACCCACATTTACGGTCCACAAATTTGTTCAATCGAAAAAGAATATACTATTCTGCTACTTCCAATTTTCCCATCACTGTGGTCGAAAATGAATGTTGAACCCACTAACAATTAGAAAACAGAACGAACGTTCTTAAAATGAAAATTTTTAAGGGAAAAAATGTGTTTCTGTACAGCCAGCATAAGTAAAAGCAGGTGCAGGTAGTTTGTAATTATATAATTTTTTTCAAAATTGTCGGTCTTTTGTTTATAGCGCAAAAAATAAAAAACCGCAGAGGCAATCAAATACCACCGAAAGAAAGATCAAATTGTGGGGGGGAGGGGACATAAATTTAATTTATGTACAGCATTGCAAGACTGCGCAATTGTCAGCTAAAGTAACAGTTGCATGTCGCAAAAAATGGCCTGGTCAGGAAGAGAGGTAAATCCTCGAGGGCAAGTGGTTAAAATAAAAAATTTGTGATCTCCGAGTCCGATTATATGTACCCGATTCACACTCTCACACTCTAATAGTATATATACACACTGTATCTCTCCTGTGTTATTTTGAATTAGATATTTTGCTCCCCAACCATATAGCTGGTTATATATATTTATCACTGCATATGCTGTAGATATTAAAGAATACACTTTTTTTTAAACTTTGCATATTATCTAAATTATACACCAAACTATTTTCAGGTTTCTATCTGATGAATCGACTAATTGAAACAATAATTGACCAACTAATCGATTATGAAATGAATCATTAGTTGCGGCCCTAGTCACCTATAGCTAATCATCAACTGTTCACAACATAAGGGCTTAATTTCCCTGAATTATGGTCAGAAAGCAGAAGCATAGGACATAAAGCAGAATTACCCCCAAAAGCAAAACATTTATTACATTGCAGTCTGCATATGCCTTTATGTAAAACCTTTATTCCAAAAGAAAAAAAAAAAAAAAAGGCTTGCTGTAACTGCTTATAAAGTGTTAGCTGGAGAGTGGCTTCAGTTTGTTAGTGTATTTAAATCTGCTAGAATCTCTCCCCAGATTAACAATGCTGTTGTGAAAAGGTGCCCTCAATGCTCCTTCACCTAGAGTAGGGGCACTCTACAGCCGTTGATCTGGCCAGTAACAGACCTTCTGTATTAAACAGAGGAGAAAAAGCCTAAAGAAAGAAAATTAAAGCAGCCACCACATCAAATGATTTGTAAGCTGCAATAGAATACATTTTTGTTTTTTGATTTAATACCACTTTAACTCATGGGTCAGCAACGTTGAGCCGTTAAATTGAAGTGAGGATCAAACAGGTACGCAGAAGAGGGTTTTCCGGCTAACAAAACACCTAGCCCCTTGGGGCTCTAGTTCCAGGGCAAATAGATATTTTACTCTTTTTAAAGAAAATCGACAGGTTCACTTCAAAGTCTGCAAGTCCCTTCCTGATTGATACGGCCACAGTCATATATGTTTGCTACAGACAAATTTTGATCTGTCAAATAAATACATCTACAAACAAGCATGTAACATGCCCAGCTTGCATGGATGAAATTTGAATGGAGTGGATAGAAAGATTCACACATGGTAACACTTCTGCATAAATCCAGCATTGGTATCACTTGAAATAGTCTGTTCCGGCCAACCTGACCCAAGCAAACCATTTACTTTACTAATAGATGTGCCTGCTGTCAGCACTCTGTAAAACCATATGTAGCATCAACTACATACATTATACTGTGCTGTTCCGCCAGCAGTACAGGGACTTCCCATCGGCTTGAATGTAATCATATCTAGCTGAACGACATTCCCAGAAGGCTGTGTTTCATTAATGAATACAAGGCTTCCTCTGAATGCCCGGGGTGCAAGATGTCACAATCTCCACCTCAGCAAATCAGAGGAAGCCTTGTATTAGTTGATCAAAACAAATGGCTTCCAGTGAATGGATGAGCAGCATTCAGCCTGACAATTTTTTGTTTTTCCGCAGCAGACAGGAAGTCCCCTCATCGCTGCCAGAACACAGCACTGTATACTGTATGTAGTGAATGCTCTGCCCCTCAGCGCTCTGGCTGGTAGTCACAACTATGTCAACACATACAGAGCAGGACCATCAGTACTATATTGCAAGAAAGGGCACCAGTCCATATCCCAGAGTGTCATAGAAGAGAAGAAACCACCAGCTTCTGGGAAATCGAGGGAAAAAAGTAGAAGTGCTTTTCACGGTTACCCTACGCAACAAAGTGCATTTAATTCTCGCAGTGTGGGAAAATTGAATTCATAATCCTGGACTTCAACTGTTTGTCCAGAGAGATCAAATCTAAAACACAATTTTATAAAGATATGATTACTTACCCAACGAATCAATGAAATCCTTGTTATTCTGGTAAAATCTGACGTATGAAGACAGCTTGGCACTCACAAATATTGTCAGAAGCTAAAAGACATTAACATGGAAGAACAAGCAGTTATTCACCAATAATAAGCTGCTAATTTACACCCAAGAATGGTAGAGTGTTCAGCGAATCACCACTACACAGCACTTTAGAACCAGCGAGGTCAGGATTTCATTCTCTTCAGAATGGCTTCTCTATACAAGTCTATAGAAATGCACAGGCAGCTGAAGCAGGTCAACTGCACTTGTGATCAATTCTGAATGATCTCAGCAGCATCTCAAACTTGCTGCACTTGACTAAAGAAGCCTTTAAAGCAGGAAACACGATTCATTTACAGAGTACAGCTATGTTAGAGTTGCCAGGGGAACATCTCTGTAAGTCTCTGATAAGAGAAAATCAAGGAGAATCAGATCTACTCAAAGGTCCCGCGGATGGCTTCTCACGTTCTACAGAGTAACCCTCATTTGCCTACAGAGGACAGGTGTGAAGCCTGGTGACAAAGGAGCCACACAATTCATGTGTTTATGTCCACAAAACTACAAGCACCAAGCCAATCTGATCAATCCTATATTCCAGCTTTCCCTTCTTATTAACCCTGAGTATCATTCCAAAAGTAGCTCAGCTTCACATATGCAGAATGGCAGTAAGAAAGCCTTTAGTAACATTGACTGAGTTTTAGCAGCACTAAATTTTGTTTTCACAGCTCTACATCCAGAGAACAACCTAAGAGTGAGCAGGACACAGGGAAAGCAGGGGGGGGGGGGGCTTACACACAATGCAGTGGATGCAACCACTGGGATTGTGTGTAAAACTGACAAGCAGATTACTGCCTGTCAGGTGCAAGTATTTGGGAGACTTCAGACAGGACTGCTTCTGCACACCCCCAGTAACGATGCCCCTCCAACCACCATGTATTCCAGGCTTTGCTTGCCCACCTGCGAGACTGGGACCAACATAGTGGGTGCTGTCACGATCGCAAGATCGCTGCCACCAACATGTGACAATCCCATGACCGCTGCCACCAATATGTCACGATCGTGGCGTCAGACCCCAGACCTTCTCACCAATTTCGTGACCGAAGGGCTAACCGATCTACAAGAGCAATATGATGTGCGTAACAATGTCACACCCATCTGCACCCTGCACAACGATTTTCCAGCTAATGGATACCGATCGATGTGCCAGCAGCCTGAATCTATTGTTACTGGGTCAGGTTAATTACGCAACTAACCCTTCACACTGCCACCACCTCCTTTTTGATCAGAGAAAGAGGAAACTCGGAGTTCAGCTATAACACTATAATGGTTGATATAATCGTCTGTATAAAACGGTCCGCAGGCCGGTTATACAGAGGTTCAAACAAATACAGTAGCGTTCTCTTTAAAGGCAGGGATTCGTAAATTGCAATTAAGAGCTATAGAAACAGTTCAACACTTTCAGAAAGAAAGATTTATTACTAAGAGGTCAAATGGGTGCAATAACAATATTTACAGAAAAAGATGTAACTAAGATATATATATATATATATATATATATATATATATATATATATATATATATAAAAACACATACAGAGAGAATAACAGCACAGCAAAGAGATAGAGAGGTTAAAGGGTTAAGGTACTTGCCATGAAGCCTTGGATGTAAGCAGATCAAGTTGCAGAGCGAAAGACACGGGTCTCCCCAGGTGGTATTGATGTTAAAATGGGAGACGTCTTCAACTTAACTTTCTTAGGCCTGACAGCCTCTTTTGTGTTCCCCAGCAGGGGGTGGTTCTGAAGTCAAGGACCAATCCCCTGTTTAGGGAGGAATCATCAGGCGGAGCCCTAAACTGGAGCCAACATCTTTCATAACTCATATTCTGGTCCATAACCTTCCATCTGCACCAGGGACCTCCCACCCGCGGGTAGATTATTATGCAGACAATTCCGAGGATTGACCAGATATGAATTATGAAGTTGTATGCTACACAGTTCACGAGATCTATTTCTCTGCTTGCCCGAGATAAGGCGAGTGACCCATCAAACTGTTCGCCTGCTCATCGTCCATCCAATGAGATGTCTGGCTTTTATGTATGTCTCTCATATTCCAAGATATGAGACATAGGGGAGAAATGGATCTTTTAAAAATGTTATCTGGTGCGGGCTTCTTGGGAATGCCTTGAACTCCTGAGAAGGCTCCATTATCTTTTTACGAGGTGTGAAATCACACAGGTTCTTTGGACAGTAAGGCACCATGTGGTTCCCTGCTGGGATCTGGCCTGTGACACTTTTAACACACACACATCTGTCACTGTGCCTCTCAGGAAGGGAGGGGGAAGGAGAATGAGGGAATAACATGGCTACTCTTAACAAAATGGCAGACTGCGTCAGTCTCTGGTGCGCACGTTTGCAACAGGTGCCAACAGGTAGAGGGAAGGGAGGAGAACGGACACACTTCCACTCTCCTTCCCTCCTTGTTGTGGACTCAAGACAGCGATATTTTTGGCATCACTTCTAGGTCCGCCTCTTGGTGTCCCTGGCCAGAAAACAAAGGAATGAATGTAATGCAATGCGATGTCTCATTAAAGAGAACCTGTCACCTGAAAGTGACAACCAAAATAATAAAAAAAAATTTAATTGAAAAAAAATTACAGTTACACCCAAAAATTTGAGGCCCCCCACCTCCATATATATGCACGTACAAATGCACGCGTTAGGTGTGCCTACACGTGAAAACGTGGATTGCGATACAAGTTACATATCGCTGCGCCTCTTTTTGAAGCATCGCCTATAGAAAATATAGGTTGCTGAAGTTTTCCACCACTTCACAGGTGCACACAAATTTAAGGTTTGACATGCTGGGTATCAATTTACTAAGTGCAACCTCATCTTTTATTTTTGACAAAACATTTGACTACTTTTTTGCGTTTGTCTGCCCTAAAATTCAATTTAGTATATTTTTACTGATATTTGGCATTTTCTAGACCTTTGTGGTAATATCATGCGACATAAAAAAATTAGAACTACTATTTTATTCTATAGGGTATCCGTTTCAGAAAAAGATAATGTTTGGGGGGTATATGAAATCTTCCGGCCTTAAAAGATTTTTTTAAACGTGTGCAAGAAAAACACAAAAACAACTCATAAAGGGTTAAACCCCCAAAGAATGATATATTTTCTGAAAGCCGAGACCCTGCAGAATAAAAAACTGCCATTTACAGTATTTATGTTGCATGATATTTCTGCAGTTATTTATCATAAACATTTTCAAGAAAAAGTACATTAAAATGAGTTTTCATGCAAAACACATTATACCAATTTTTTAATACCATATAAAAAAAATGAGGTTGCATTATGTAAATAGATACCAAACATGTCAAGCCTTAAAACTTCATTGGCCTGTGAAATTAGCAAAAAACTATATTACCCCAAATTCTCCAAAGGAGACACTATAAAAGCCTTTACAGGTCATCACTTTATAGCTAACCATTTTGGCCCCAGAATTACTGTTCTCACTCCTACAATTGCAGCAATACTTCATACACGGCGCAATTTGAGTTTACATACAAGTGCGCACTCAATGCCCCATGTTCGTGTTAGGATATATAGAAAAGGGATGGGGTGCCTTTACATTTTTTCTATAATTTTGTTTATTTTTTTGTTTTTTTTTACAGCCCCCTATGTAATAGAATGTACAGGTGAGAGGTCCTCTTTATAAAGACATCAGAGGTCTTATTAGAACTCCTGATGTCTTCCTTACCTACCACTGCATGTTCAGAGCCCTGTAAAAGTGAACGCTTACCTGAAAAGCCCTTCAGCGACTGTAAAAATAAATACCCAGCTCACGCCTACTGCGGTTGAGCTTGCTTTAGCTCCTTGAATACCAGAAAGTTTATAAACATATCTTGATGAACAAGAGATGAGAATCACAGAGTGCAGAAAACACAAAGTCATGGGGTTTATGCTAGAATCTGATCTAAGTAAGAAGACAAAATGCTTTAAGTGGATAATTATAACCTACATTTATGAAGATGTGTGAACATGTTAAAAGGAGTACAGGATTAAAAAAAAAAAAAAAAAAAAAAAAAAAAAAACACAAAACACATTCACCTACATGGCTGCAGCATTGATCTGATGCTACAGCTGTCTCCTGCTAGCTCTGAGAACTGAGTGATCACGACTGGTTCACTGTCAGTCATCAGCTCCTTCTACTCCAGCATTCATTGCAGTACTGGGCTGTGGAGGAGGCCAAACAGCTGGCTTAGGCTCTCAGTGGCAAGCTGGGAGGCTGAGGCAGTTGCTGGTCAGGCATCTAGGTGGATTTTGACATTAAAGTCGAGATCCTTGCAGAACCTGAGCCAGTTCTGTGATGTCAGCCAAACACAGAGCCAAAATGTGGATCACAGGAATGCAGAAATAAGTGCACTCCTGTGACCAAGAAGAAAAGTACAGCCAAAAGACCTTTGGCCATACTTCTCCTTTAAGCACTCTCTTTCCCACAAGTCATACAACATTTTAGGTAGATCCAAACCAACCAGTATATTGACCACATTATTATCATCATTACATAAAATACTTACATCATGTATAAGTTCTCCTTCCAAAAACTTAACTGGCTTTAAGGCAAGGAGGTGATCAAGCAAGAATGCTTTGGGGTCCTTCAGTGCTCTCACAATGCATCTACAACAGAAGCAGTGTAATTAGAACAACTTGTACTGTTAAACAAGATGAGCCATTATATAAAATGTCAAAAATCAGATATACTATTAAAGTGGAGGTAAACCCTAACTGGATAAAATTTGCCTTTTTTTTTTTTTTTTTTATCAATGCAGTTTTCACCTCCGTTCATCCTTTGTATGCACCTCGAGGCTGCTGATCCGTTACAGCATCTACCCGCCTACATGTACTTGTTCCATGCATATGGAGAAACAGAAAAAGGACGCACCGACCTAGTGCATTATCATTTAAAATAATTTATTAACGAAACAAAAATAGGTATCATACTTGCAGAGCCTAGGGGCTCTGAGGAAGAGGTTATGTCCTCGAAATGCGTTAGCCAGTTGGTCATCCAGGGTTCCATCATATGGACTCAGATGTTTTTTGGATCATACGTCTTGTTCAGTTTGACATGCCTGTGTTATTATGTCCATTGTGAGTATGATACCTATTTTTGTTTCTTTAATAAATTATTTTAAACGATAATGCACTAGGGCGGTGCGCCCTTTTTCTGTTTCTCCATTTGTATCCAGTGTATTCGGACTACCCCGATCTGTTGAGGGCAGCAAGCAGTGCATATTCCATAAAATTCGAGAACATTCCTATTGGGTCTACTGAGTCCTTTCCTAGTGCAGGAGTAAAGTGTTTGTTGTGTTGGACTTGTTCCATGCATACATGTCTTGATCGGGGCAGAAATCACGATAGTGATAACTGTGGCCCATGTCTCTGGAGCCGGGGCAAATTCATGTCAAAAGACAAGAAAAGAGAACACCATGGCAGGATAATCAGTTTTTTAATGAATGTTTCGGATATATAGACCCATGTTTAAAATTACAACATAAATTTGCATGACATTTTGGTGAATGGACCTACAGTGGGGATCGAAAGTTTGGGCACCCCAGCTAAAAATTTGTATTAATGTGCATAAAGAAGCCAAGGAAAGATGGAAAAATCTCCAAAAGGCATCAAATTACAGATTAGATATTCTTATAATATGTCAACAAAAGTTAGATTTTATTTCCATCATTTACACTTTCAGAATGACAGAAAACAAAAAATGGCGTCTGCAAAAGTTTGGGCACCCTGCAGAGTTAATATCTTGTACTGCCCCCTTTGGCAAGTATCACAGCTTGTAAACGCTTTTTGTAGCCAGCCAAGAGTCTTTCAATTCTTGTTTGAGGTATCTTTGCCCATTCTTCCTTACAAAAGTCTTCCAGTTCTTTGAGATTTCTGGGCTGTCTGTCACGCACTGCTCTTTTAAGGTCTATCCATAGATTTTCAATTATGTTGAGGTCAGGAGATTGTGAAGGCCATGGCAAAACCTTCAGTTTACGACACTTGATGTAATCCCCCGTGGATTTCGAGGTGTGTTTAGGATCATTATCCATTTGTAGAAGCCATCCTCTCTTTAACTTCAGCTTTTTCACAGATGGCATCAAGTTACCATCCAAAATTTGCTGAAATTTTATTGAATCCATTTTTCCTTCTACTCGTGAGATGTTCCCTGTGCCACTGGCTGCAACACAACCCCAAAGCATGATTGATCCAACCCCATGCTTAACAGTTGGACAGAGGTTCTTTTCATTAAATTTTGTGCCCCTTCTTCTCCAAACGTACCTTTGCTCATTCCGGCCAAAAAGTTCAATTTTAACCTCATCGGTCCACAGAACTTGTTTCCAAAATGCATCAGGCTTGTCTATATGTTCATTTGCAAAGTTCAAACAATGATTTTTGTGGTGAGGACGTAGAAGAGGTTTTCTTCTGATGACTCTTCCATGAAGACCATATTTGTACAAGTATCTCTTTATAGTGGAATAGTGTACCTCAACTCCAGTGTCTGCCAGATCTTTCTAGAGGGATCGGGCAGTCAAACGTGGGTTTTGAATTGTTTTTCTCACAATCCTGCGAGCTGTTCTGTCTGATATTTTTCTTGGTCTTCCAGATTTTGCTTTAACTTCCACTGTTCCTGATGACTGCCATTTCTTAATTACATTCCGAACAGAGGATATTGACATCTGAAAACGCTTTGCTATCTTCTTATAGCCTTCTCCAGCTTTGTGAGCGTCAAATATTTTCAGTTTCAGTTTTCTAGACAACTGCTTAGAAGAACCCATGGTGCTGATTGTTGGGGTAAGGTCAGATGAGTCTGGGCATTTAAAACCTTTGAGATTGACATCATCTGGTCTTCCCAGACGATGATTGAGAACAATCCATGACACTGGCAGGTCTCAGCTTTGCAAAGGGGGCAGTGCATGCTATAAATTCTGCAGGGTGCCCAAACTTTTGCAGACGCCATTTTTTGTTTTCTGTTATTTTGAAAGTGTAAATGATGGAAATAAAATCTAACTTTTGTTGACATATTATAAGAATGTCTAATCTGTAATTTGATGCCTTTTGGAGATTTTTCCATCTTTCCTTGGCTTCTTTATGTACATTAATACAAATTTTTAGCTGGGGTGCCCAAACTTTCGATCCCCACTGTATATCTACTTTATTCAAAGGTTCAGCAAAGCCAAACTGTACAGTGGCCTAGTTTTGGAGGAGTGGGTGTTCTGGCACTTTTAATGCTGGCTGTATGAAGGAAATTGTATACTGACTCTTGTCCTTGCTCTAACACAGACTCTGGTGCATACAGTGTCATTGACAACCACTAGCACAAAAAGCAAAACTGACAAGTATGTGGCTCTTTTTAATAAGCATCATTGACGCTTCTTAAATGTTTGCGCCTCTGCATGAAGGCCAGTTACCTTGCTTGGCATTTCATGACTCAGGAAACATTTCTTATACTGTATGTGCAGAGATGCAAGTCTTTATTCTTGCTCACCACAATGTCACGATAGGTGAAAAATACTACCCCAAAGAAGCATGCATATACTGTAAGGGCACGTTTCAGCAGAAACTCTAGTTATTCATCACCCTGATAGTATCCTACACCACATCAAAATACATTTGAGCATTCTATGTGCTTTCTTATATTTTGAATGTGAACACTTTTGCATTTTCACCTAAATACATATTTGAGGTACCTGGACAGTGTTCTGCCTTTGTGTAATTTAGTTATAATACATTGTCATGGTAAACAAAAACACCCCAGCACTGAGCTTAGGAGTACGATGCTGGATGGTTTTCAGGTAAGTATACCTGTCTGGGACATTTGCCCTTCCCTTAGCTGATGCTGGCAGGGTCTTCAAGCTGTAATCTCTGCAGAGCTTAGCTCACAATTCCATAAAACATCACTTCTGCACTCAAATTCCTCTGATGGCAGTCATATCCCACCTTTACATCTTACGTCTAAACTCTGTACAGACTGGCCACCATGTGAAATAAACCTGTGTGCCTTTTCCTCATACAAAACAATGTGAAAGCTATATTAGATAAATTACTTGTGTGCATCCACACGGGCCTGAGATGCGTTGTCATCCGTGTAGCTTCCCAACAGCTCCACCATTACCTTAGCGGCATCATCACTGCAAAGACAAAATTTATTTTAGTATTCATGGCAAAGTGGAACTTCTGCAGTCGGATATTTATATGTGAGCATGTTTCGTGCATGCCAGTATACACCAGTCATAACATTATGACCATTGACATGTAAAGTGAACATGGATTATTTTTGAGACAATGACATGTGAATGTGAGTGGGATTTATTAGGCAGCAAGTGAACATATCCCTGAAGCGGAGGTGTTGAAAGTAGAAAAAGCTGGCAAGCGTAAGGATTTGAGTACCTTTGACAAGAGTCAAACTGTAATAACTAGACTAGGCCAGAGCAACTCAAACTCCAGCTCCTGTGGGATGCTCCTGGTCTGCAAGGTTCAAGACCTACCAGATGTGGTCCAAGGAAGGAAAACCAGCAAAGGGGAAACAGGGTTATGGGCAGCCAAGGCCTACTGATGCACGTGGGGAACAAAGGCTGGCCCATAAAGTGCGATCCAACAGAAGAGCTAGTGTACCTCAAATTGCTGAAAAAGTTAATGCTAGCTCTGATAAAAAGGTGTCAGAACACACAATGCAAGCAGTTTGCTGCATATGGGGCTGACCCATGTCCACAGCCAAAGGTGCTTACAATGAGCATGTGAGCATCACAACTGGACCATGGAGCAATGGAAGAATGTGGCCTGGTCTGCAAAATTAAAGAATGCTTGAGAAACGTAACAAGTTTGAGGTGTTGACTTGGTCTCCGAATTCTCCACGTCAGTTCATTGAGCATCTGTGAAATGTGCTGGAAAAACACATACGGTACATGGAGGCCCCACCCTGCAACTTAAAGGGCTTAAAAGGACTGGCTTCTGATGGCTTGGTGCAAGAGAACACAGCATACCTTCACAGGTCCGGTGGAGTTCATGGGTTATGGTGGGTGGTTATAATGTTCTGGCTAATCAGTGTATGTTAATTATCAGCAACTACAACCATGAGGATGAAAACAATGGCCTACAGGTTGTTCAGTGGTATCAGTGTATATGTTCAATTTCACACAGCATCCAGCCATTTCCTGTACTCCGCATCTTTTCAAGATAAAACCTACAAATACCAACAATAAACCTACCATGCTCAGACACAGTGTATAATGGCATTCTAGTGATCATGTGGCAAGTACAACATTACACCTTATGTTAACATAACAGACGGATGGCTAGTTTCAGGTGTACATAAAGGAGAGCACAAAATACAGAAAAACAGGAAAGCTGTAGGGCAAAGTTCACCAATACTCTAGAAAGAACCTGTCAGGAAAGAAACTGCTGAATTGTTTTTGAAGGTGTATGGTCTTTAACTGCCATCTTTATCCACCATCTATCTACTACCTTAATCTAGAACTGGAAGTGCAATTACAGTGAAAGTTGTTTAAATTTTGAAAGAAGCAGAGAAGGATTAAAGAATTTTTTGTTTTTATTGCTCTCCTAGTTAGGAAAATTATCAATTCCCATCCCGGTCACTGAACAGGAAAAGAGGGCACTCTGCCGAGTGGAGGGACAGACAGCAGTAAAAACTCTTCACCAGAAAAGCGCTTTAATTAACCACTTCCCGCCCGGCCCATATACATAAACGGCTGGACGGGAGCAGTGCCGGAGCAGTTTGACGTTTCTAAACGTTACCCGCATTCACTGCTTGTACACGTTCCCTGGGAGCGCGCGGCACCGCGATCCAGTGCCCGCTGTGTCCTTCGGACACAGTGGAACACCGATCGCTGTACGGGACCTCTGTGTGAGGTCCCGATTCATGTGATCACTGATTGGCCAATCAGTGATCACATGAATAGTAGTAAACAAGATGTCACTTCTGCCATCATTGCTTACTACTTGTGAAATCTGTGAATGATCAGAGAGATCACATGGTACAAGGCTATTCACAATAGCCTTGTACCATGTCAAACTGTGACCAATCACAGCTCTCACAGTATTTCTCAATGGCTGCAAAAATGCAGCCAGAAAGGAGGAGAAATTATTGCTTTTACACCGATAAAGGCTGTAAAAGCAATAATCAGTGTAAAAAGAAAAAAAGAAATAAAATAAAAATGTAAAAAAAAAAAAATTAGAAAAATTATAATTTTTGGTTATAAACTAATTTGGGTTATTTTTTTTACTAAAAAAATAGCTGAATACATTTTGGCCAAGATTTATGAAGAAAGATTATTTGCAAAATATAAGAAAAACACTTTTTTTTTTCAAAAGTTTGGAGTTTTTCATTTATACAGCAAAAAAAAAAAAAAAAGTTCCAGTGGTAAATACCAAAATAAAGTTTTATCTGTCTCAAACAAATGCTACAAAATTCATATGGGTACAATGTTGCATGACCGAGCAATTCAAAGTGTGATAGCACTGAAAGCTGAAAATTGGCCTGGACAGGAAGGGAGTGAAAGTGTCTGTAATTGAAGTGGTTAATAACCATCAATATTCTGCTTTCTTCCTGACACTTACTACACAACAGGAACACAGACAGCAATAATAACACAAACTTCCCAAGTCTTTCTGAATGTATTCAAAGCTACATAAGGATGGGCTTTTATCAACATTCACTGCCTGCTCAATATACACCCCAAACTATTCACACATATGATGTCAGGTGAGTCACCTTCGTTTGCAGTCAACAAGAGCCTCATAGAGAAGCCTGAGTAAAACGTGTTTCTTCTCTGTGCTGAGGTTCCAGTCTGTAATCCATTTACGAACCTAAAAAAACAAAATCCAAGTTAAACTGTATGTAATGCTGCAAGCTTTTCCAAGTAAATAAGGAGCAGAAGGAAGGGCACTGACCTGATCAAGATCTGTTGGAATGAACATTATGGCGCCACAGCTGGCTGCCACTTTGATGAGGGCACAGTATACGGTGTACCTGACAGGGGTGCTCTTGTCCATGCCATGGAATAGGTTACTCAGTCTGGAAGATACGCAGACCACGTTACATTTTTATTTTACAAGATAGAGGCAACAGACACTGGAAAGGAGACCTATAACAGCACTACACAATGACCAACAATTGAAGCAATGCACTAAAAAGACATTATTCTAAATAAGGGCGACAGAAAATAGAATACACTTTGGAAACTTTCCATACATTTTAGAAGGGGAACATGACATTGTAAACCAGCAAGGGCTGAAACTGCAAGCACCAGCTTGACCTGCACCTTGCCTTTGTACTCCAGTGGACAGAACCGGAGGCTGCCTGCACAAGCTGGAAGTTCCTCCAACCCAAATGTGATCTCACCAGCCGCTGGTTCCCAGAGTGAGCAAAGGACCCAAGAAACAAACAGCATGAGCCAAAGGAGTCCTCGCATCCCCCCCCCCCAGCAAGACAGAAAATGTCCAGACAGCCAATAAAAAAAAAAAAAAAAAAAAAAAAGGTATGGCTACACAACCCCACCACCTCAGGACAGCATAGCACCACCCATGGTTCCCATCATGGCAGAGGAAACACAAACGGATGCCATGCTAAACCCTCCCTTTTAAAGATCTATATCTCAGCATTTCCTGAGAAAAAGTGGGTGGAGCTACAATCTCTCCAGGGACTGTCCTAAAAGATGATTGGGGAAATAAAAGTTCTGCCCGCGAGCAGATGGTGAGTGAGATGGCCTCTTCCATGCCCCTTTCATCCTAGTTTTAATGGATTACTAAAATGTTAAAATTTCCCATTCACCTTTCCCATTTACAATAATAATACTTTTATATGCATCATAGGCACACTTCTACAGGGGTGGTAGGTGGATGGCTTGGAAATATTCCATAGTAAAGTTTTTGGGGTTTTTTTTTTTTTTAATTCTTAGAGAATTTTTACATGAGACCAGCTGTTAAAGTAAGGCAAAGTGTTTCTGGATTGGCAGTCAGTTAACCAATATTTGCAAAGGTCATATGTCACGTGATAACCCTAGACATTCTAAACACAGTCTGGTTAGTGGTCATTCAAACTGGCCACATACATGGAGGTACAGCTGTCTGGCCTGTTCCATTTGACAGACTTGCATGCATGACTTGGTTGAGTGTCAACAATGGTAAGCAGAAAATCAATTAACTGTCCTGATCTTTGCCTTCCAAAATACAGTACTAAATCTGAAAAGATAATGGTAAAACCACATATGCTCATATGAAAACGTATTGGGTTTTCCACAAAATGAAAATAGAAAAAAAAATATAACCAAGACTTATTATATATTATTTTGATCATAATAATCAAAAACACTGCACACTATACAAAAAGACACTATGGCTTACTAAAGGCAAATAGACTTCAGAGCTTACTGAATAAGGTGAAGCTCTGCCGATTTCCATCATTCAATCACATGCAAGCAAAAAAATCAGTTTTTTTCCTTGCACCTGATTGGGTATTCATTACAAAGTGAAGCTTCACCACATTTACTAATCTCTGGGAAAAATGAGTGCAACTGCAGTGCACAGTCTATTTACCTTCACTAACTCAACGCCATACGTCAATAGGAAACCAGCCAGAAAACAACCTATCAAAAATTTTCACTGCACCAACTGTTCCGGAATTTAAAGCGAGAGTCAATTTGCGGTTATGGATTACTACATACAGGTGTACCTCGGTTTACGAACGCCTCAGTTAACATAGTTTTCGGTTTACGAATGAAAATCCATTGAAAATAATGCCTCGGTTTACAAATTTTTTTAACCATACGAAGTGTATGTCAGTGCCTATTTTTCAAAGCAATTGCAGGCTTTTTTTTTTCCTTCACTATAGCTCAGAGAATTAGCTGTCACTTTCCCCAGAGCTAAAGAATACTTTGTTTCTTTTATCTCCAGAAACAAGGTAAAAGGAAACATTCCTTTCTTTTGGCTGGGGGGAAAGTGACAGCTGATGCTCTGAGCTATAGTGAAGAAAAAAAAGCTGGTAATTACATTTAAAAACCGGCACGGACCTATAGTGACAGCGACTTTTTCAAAAACTTTTTTCTGACCTGTGGAACGAATTTTTTTTTTTTAGGATTAACTGGTTTTCAGTGCATTCCTATGGGAAACTGCATTTCGGTTTATAAGAATTTTTCGCAATATGAAACGTCCCGGAGAATTAAATAAGTAAACAGAGGTACACCTGTATTTCTAATTTCTGAAAGGCTTTTAAAAAAAAGCAAAAAATGACACTTTAAAAAAAAGTAATAAGAATCATCTTATATTGTAAGCTCCGAGGAGCAGGGCCCTCCTAACCCTCTTGTATTGAACTGTATTGTTGCTGTAATGTCTCCCGTTATATTGTAAAGCGCTGAGCAAACTGTTGGCGCTATATAAATCCTGTATAATAATAATAATAATACAGTCAGGTTCATAAATATTGGGACATCAACACAATTCTAACATTTTTGGTTCTATACACCACCACAATGGATTTGAAATGAATGAACAAGATGTGCTTTAACTGCAGACTGTCAGCTTTAATTTGAGGGTATTTACATCCGAATCAGGTGAACGGTGTAGGAATTACAACAGTTTGCATATGTGCCTCCCACTTGTTAAGGGACCAAAAGTAATGGGACAGAATAATAATCATAAATCAAACTTTCACTTTTTAATACTTGGTTGCAAATCCTTTGCAGTCAATTACAGCCTGAAGTGTGGAACGCATAGACATCACCAGACGCTGGGTTTCATCCCTGGTGATGCTCTGCCAGGCCTCTACTGCAACTGTCTTCAGTTCCTGCTTGTTCTTGGGGCATTTTCCCTTCAGTTTTGTTTTCAGCAAGTGAAATGCATGCTCAATCGGATTCAGGTCAGGTGATTGACTTGGCCATTGCATAACATTCCACTTTTTTCCCTTAAAAAACTCTTTGGTTGCTTTTGCAGTATGCTTTGGGTCATTGTCCATCTGCACTGTGAAGTGGCGTCCAATGAGTTCTGAAGCATTTGGCTGAATATGAGCAGATAATATTGCCCGAAACACTTCAGAATTCATCCTGCTGCTTTTGTCAGCAGTCACATCATCAATAAATACAAGAGAACCAGTTCCATTGGCAGCCATACATGCCCACGCCATGACACTACCACCACCATGCTTCACTGATGAGGTGGTATGCTTAGGATCATGAGCAGTTCCTTTCCTTCTCCATACTCTTCTCTTCCCATCACTCTGGTACAAGTTGATCTTGGCCTCATCTGTCCATAGGATGTTGTTCCAGAACTGTGAAGGCTTTTTTAGATGTCGTTTGGCAAACTCTAATCTGGCCTTCCTGTTTTTGAGGCTCACCAATGGTTTACATCTTGTGGTGAACCCTCTGTATTCACTCTGGTGAAGTCTTCTCTTGATTGTTGACTTTGACACACATACACCTACCTCCTGGAGAGTGTTCTTGATCTGGCCAACTGTTGTGAAGGGTGTTTTCTTCACCAGGGAAAGAATTCTTCAGTCATCCACCACAGTTGTTTTCCGTGGTCTTCCGGGTCTTTTGGTGTTGCTGAGCTCACCGGTGCGTTCCTTCATTTTAAGAATGTTCCAAACAGTTGTTTTGGCCATGCCTAATGTTTTTGCCATCTCTCTGATGGGTTTGTTTTGTTTATTCAGCCTAATGATGGCTTGCTTCACTGATAGTGACAGCTCTTTGGATCTCATCTTGAGAGTTGACAGCAACAGATTCCAAATGCAAATAGCACACTTGAAATGAACTCTGGACCTTCTATCTGCTCATTGTTATTGGGATAATGGGGGAATAAACACACCTGGCCAAGGAACAGCTGAGAAGCCAATTGTCCCATTACTTTTGGTCCCTTAACAAGTGGGAGGCACATATGCAAACTGTTGTAATTCCTACACTGTTCACCTGATTTGGATGTAAATACCCTCAAATTAAAGCTGACAGTCTGCAGTTAAAGCGTATCTTGTTTGTTTCATTTCAAATCCATTGTGGTGGTGTATAGAGCCAAAAATGTTAGAATTGTGTTGATGTCCCAATATTTATGGACCTGACTGTATAAAGTAGCTATTATTAAACACAACAGCCAGATAACAGCCAGCTAAACACATTCCATGTTTACTTCTAAAACATTCCTTTTTCTAAAATTCGCTTTCCTTGGTACTCATATCTCAGTGATGTGCAGTAATCTGTTACAGGTCAGTACTTCAGGAGGAAGACCAGCTATGCAATATAGCATGAGTGGCTCTGGGCACTACAAAAAAAAGAGCACTTCCTGTAAGAATTCTCCCAATGAAACACAAAGGAGATGTAAAGTGGAGCTTTATATTAAATAAACGTTTGCACAATAAAAATGTTTTCTATTTTAAAAGAAAGGACAAGGCAGAACATTTCTTGGGTTATGCAAATACTTACAGCTGCAGTCTTAAAGAAGGACGTTCTCCTTCCCTGTATTTTACCAGCTTCTCACACAGGCTTTCGATTAAAGCTTCCTGCTTGTCTGGCTCCAGGATAAGCAACAGGGACACAACACTATTCATTATACTCTCCACATCTGTAAACATCAATGTTAAAATATGAAGCAGCAGAATTATTGAAAAGACCATAATCTCTGCCTCCGTTCATACAGTGAGAGCCTTAAGTGTAAACGGTGTCCAAAAGGTAACACTTCAGGGTTTATTTATAAAGAATCTGCATAGCCATTCACCCAGTGAAAGAGCATTTACATTCATCCTGTGTGAAAGGCGTAAAAAATGTAATTCAAGTATGGATTAAAAAAACCCCAAAAAACATTTATATTCACCTATGTAGATGCAACATCAGTCCAATGGTGCAGCTGTCCCCTGCTGGGTGTACACAGGGAACAGAGTGATCAAAGACTGCTGCTCGCTTAGTTCTAGGGCCCACTCGGAGCACAAAGCAGTGACTAATGCAGGCCATACATGGGTTGAATTCTGAACGAATTTTCTTTAGACAATCAGAAATTTTGTGCATTTTGTAATCTGACGGTGCTGCCACGGATTTTGAAATTTAAGCAACCAAGCCTTCAATTACACTTCATGTTGCTACAGAAAAGAATTTTCATGGCCAAGAGTTTTCTTTTCTTTCCAGGTCACAGCTTTAGATTTCTTGCATGATTCTCCCATCATTCTCCCATCAAATTTCCAACATGCCTGATCACTCAAATTTGATGGTCACATGGAAATCGGTTGTTTCTGTGACCCACTAATGGTGCGAAATTCAAATAAAAATTCTTAGAAAAGATTTTCAAAAGAAAATTCTTTCAGAATTTGACCTGTGTATGGCCAGCTTAAGTCACTGCTCTGTACTGTACCCCTCCAGTGTTCACTCTAGTACTGAGGGCAAGATCATCTGGCTCAGGCTCTCAGCGGCATGCTAAGAAGCTGAGCCAGCCGCTGGTCAGACATCTGGGAAGACCCTGACACTGGATCCCTGCAGTGCCTAGACCGGCTCTGTGACACAAGGTGCCAGCGGACTCTAGCCTGATTTCAGCTGAATCTGGGTCACAGGAGTGCAGAACTAAGTGCACTCCTGTGATCCACAGGAGAAGTATAGCCAAAAGAGCTTCAACCATATTTCTCCTTTAAACTGGAAAATACTGCATTTGATGGAAAAGACAGGAATTTCCTATGATACTTCACACTTTCTAAAACCAAAAGGAAACATTTTCCTTTTCACATCTCTTATTTACAAACAGCTGGGTGAATAGCTTTGCAAATTCTTCATAAATCAGCTTACTATTAAGATGAACAGAAAGAGTGGAAAAGGTCAGTTTGTGCAGTTGGAGTAATTCACAAAATCACAAGCCAGATACTACACTAGGTTGTCTTGGACAAGTGTAATACCTGGCTTGTGGTATTGGCAGCTTGTCTTTTTGTGAATTAAAGCCCTTTTCTCCAGATGCAAACATTCTCCACACAAGCTGACAATTTCCACTCTGTTCCCCCAAGTTGCAGCAGATTCCGAGTAAACAGGCGTTTAGAAGACTTAATTTTTTTAAATGTAATTTTATTGCCATCACATCCCATGTGATACGGACAGGTAGTCTTTGTAGAGACATCAGAAGTCTGTTAGACCACCAATGTCTACTCTGCCCTCGAATGCTGCTAATAAAGCACAGACTGTGCTTGATTATCTGTATCTTTGCCACAGTAGCCAAGGAATGACAGCTGTGACAAGTCACATCTGTTCACCGATCCCCCCTGCCCTCACTGCAAGAGCTGTTTTCCATTGACCTGGGCTCCCCAGAGAGGAACAGAAGAAGCCAGGAACCATTGTGGGCATTGACAGCTGGGGAAAATCACACGTTTAGAGTCCCATACCTGTTAAATACACACCAAGTTCAAAACTGCAGAAGAGATGAGCTTGCTTTAATTCATTGTTTACCATGTCATTTAAAAATGCACCTTGGAACACAAGGTGGTAAGGTTAAAAAAGTAATAAAGCCACAGGATCCATAGAGCTGCCAAATATGTAGTATTTGCAGAAGAGTCTGTCCATGTATTTCCCAACACAGGTTCTCTTTATTTCACACTATGACAACCAACAACAAACCTTTATCGTCGTCTTTCAAGCAGACATCACATGCTTCAATGACCTGAGCCAAGTCAATGTGGAGTCCGCCCTCCGAGTTTTCCTCCGATATCTCTGCGCCTTTAGATTTCAAGTAAGCGCGAAGCTCCCCAGCCTTAGAAAGGAAGGAAGGAATATTCTTACTGATGGTTTACATGAATGATCCTTAGCAGCTCTGAGCCGTGCACATTCCCTTATCTACACTAAGCAGAACCTACCAGAGTCAGGATCATTATCACACAGACTCAGCACTTCCCACATACATCTGATACCATTCTGAAAGTCCAACTGCAGAATTGTTTTTTCGTTTGTTTATGGGGACAGGATAATAACCAAATTTTATTTACTTGGCTGTCCATTTTCCTGTTGGAGATTTATTTATTTCAGGTACTTATATAGCGCCATCAATTTACGCAGCACTTTACATATATATTGTACATTCACATCAGTCCCTAACCCTCAAGGGGTGTACAATCTAAGGTCCCTAACTGACATTCAACACATACACATACTAGGGCCAATTTAGACAGGAACCAATTCACCTACCAGCATGTCTTTGGAATGTGGGAGAAAACCTGAGTACTCGGAAAAAAAAAACCCACGCAGGCACAGGGAGAACATGCAAACTCCAGGCAGGTGGTGCCGTGGTTGGGATTCGAACCAAAGACCCTAGTACTGCCAGGCGGAAGTGCTAACCATTTTGCCACTGTGCTGCCCATAGATGCAGAGTCTGTCACGGCACGTGCAAGGGAATCACTTCCTCCTTCAGTTTTGAAAAAAGGCCAAGAAACTGCTAAAAGGTTCATTGATTATTAAAATTACATTTTATTTAATTTGGAAACCAATGAAATTTGTACAGTGGTTGTAAAGGCTCAAGTTTTTTTTTTTACTATATGCATTAAGGTAAATGATCTTTTGTGTGCAGCTGCCCCCTCCCCCCCCCGCAATACTTACCTGAGCCACACCACGATCCAGCAATGTGCAAGAGAGCCTCAGCTCTCTCTGGGGACTCTCCCTCCTCACTGACTGAGACAGCAACGGGAGCCATTAGTTTCCGCTGCTGTCAATCACAGCCAGTGAGCCATTGAGGAGAGAAAGGTGGCAGGAGCAAGCTGTGTGTGAACAGACACACAGAACAGCAACTCAGAAGGAAGCCTGCTTAGGTGCCCCCATAGCAAGCTTTCAGAGGAATAAAACTGATAAAAAAGGAACAGTGTAAGAAAAAAAAAAAAAACACATTAAAAGTGCCCCCATCCCTCAGTGCTTGTGCACAGAAGTGAACGCATATGTAAGTCGTACAAACATGTAAATGTTGTTTGCAGCACACATAGGAGGTATCACTGCAAATGTTAGACTCTAAACAGGTAACCTGTAAAAAATTCTGGCGTAAGGCTTCCGACTACATCACACCACAACTGAGTCATAAATGCCGTAACCAGAGGCGGACTGACAACTCATGGGGCCCCCGGGCAATAGGGGATCATGGGGCCCCTGTGTCCTTGCCCAAACTCAAAAAGGCCTATGATAAAGGTACCAGGGGCATCTCATGGGGCCCCCTACTGACCACGGGCCCTCGGCAGTGCCCGAGTTTCCAAATGGTCAGTCCGCCCCTGGCCATAACGCATCATCCCCATTGTATTATTACAGATTATATGCATGTCTTCTTATTGCAATCAATTTAGCCCTGATAAGGGAGGTAGTGCTGGACTGCTGAAAAAACACAGGCTACATCTACAGGTCATGTGTTCCAAAGTGATATGAAACTTTGTTTTTAAGTACTTTCAGGAGCTGATTTCATCACTTACTGAGTATGCAGCTTTATTTTTTATTCTTGAATATGTTTCAGTTTCAGCCGGTGTCATGGAAGAGGAGATTAAGGGGGGATATGATCTCCATGTATAAATACATCAGTGGTTCATATAGTGAACTCGGTGTAGAGCTATTCACCCTGAGGTCATCACAGAGGACAAGGGGGCACTCCTTACGTCTGGAGGAAAAGAAATGTAATCTCCAAACACAGAAAGGTTTCTTCACAGTAAGAGCTGTGAAAATGTGTAATAGACTCCCTCAAGAGTTGTTTTAATTTTAAAAAAATGCTCTGTTTTTATCATAGTGTGATGAATGCACATGCAGAGTTATTCACCCTGAGGTCATCACAGAGGACAAGGGGGCACTCTTTACGTCTGGAGGAAAAGAAATGTAATCTCCAAACATGGAAAGGTTTCTTCACAGTAAGAGCTGTGAAAATTTGGAATAGACTCCCTCAAGAGTTGTTTCTGGCCAGCTCAGTGGATTGCTGTAAAAAAGATACACAGAATATAACTGGATACTAACATTTATAGGTAAAGTTAATCCAGGGAATATCCGATTGCCTCTCGGGGGATCAGGAAGGAATTTCTTCCCCTGCAGGACCAAATTGGATCATGCTTTGCTGGGTTTTTTTGCATTCCTCTGGATCACCTGTGGGTATAGGATTACAACTTTGTTTTTTTTTAATGGTTGAACTGGATGGACTTTTTTTCAGCCAGACTAACTATGTCCGCTGTCCCTGGTTTCCCATTTTCGGGCGACTCCTTAGTCTTGCAGCATTCTATGGAGCCTTTCTTGCATGCAGGAACTAGAATTGTGCTTCCCTTTTTGTTGTGTGCTTCAATAGAAGCACAGCTCTGGGTCCTGTAGTCTAGGATGACAAGATACTCCCCTGCTCCTTCCTCAAAGCGATCAGACTAGCTAGAGACTGTACTGTCCACTCTTTTGTATGAAGACCAGACGTTCAGGGAAGCAGCACTAAGGGGGCTGGGGGTAAGAATACAAATACTTTACTGGGGATTGTCTAAATTATTGTGCTCAACATGGCATCTACCGTACCGCAAGTGAGCGCGCTTTCCTTGCGAGAGTGTGACAATTGTTAATGGCACCCCAAACATCTCACAAGCACAGCGCATTTGCAGGCACCAAATCCCATGCTAGCGCAGGAGTATGCGGTTTGGTGTAGTGCGTTCTGAAAAAGGAACACGTGTAATACTTTTTTCACATTCCAATGCGTTTTGCAGCCCATTCAACTAACTAGTTGCAAAACTGGATTGTACATGAATGGGTGCAATTCAATGCGACTCTTATACTAAAAACCGCTGAGGGTTTATTACTACCCTAAAGTGAAATACAGCCCCTAGGACTGTCACCTGCCGCTGCAGCACTCCAGCTCATATTTCAGACCTGGAACCTGACTGCTGCAGCCTGAGCACAGCATCCTGGGAGGTCACATGACCCACTATACATGGAAGGACTGATATATATAGTGACAGCATGGACAGCACAACGGCACATATCAGCTGGTGGGATTACTAGATCTGTCATGTGAAAGGACAGGTCCTCTTTAACTACTTCCCAGTAGAGCCATAGTAAATATACGTCCTCGGTTGGAAGTGGAATACCGAGGTCATGGTTGCAGCAATGTGCCATAACCCTGGTATTGTTTTTATCAGCCAGCAATTTCTTTTTCCTAAAGGTGATGCTAGCAGTGGATTTGTCACTGGATCACTTTTAGAAGTGCTGGGTACTGGATCACTTTTAGAAGTGCTGGGTGGGCCCCCCCTCGCCCGCCACTTTCCGTTGGTTCTCGGGCTTACCTGGCGGATCGGTGAGCCCGAGAATAGATCTAATGACCGCTGCAGCTGGGCATAGAGATGCGTGAAGGAAACATGGCCTCTACTCATCTTTAAGGCCTAGGAGGACCAGAGCAACACCATTACGTCACTTCTGGTTCCAGCCTAATGTAAACATGGGCAGCACAGCGGCTAAACGGGCAGCACTTCTGCCTGGCAGTACTAGGGTCATTGGTTCAAATCCCAACTATGGCATCACCTGCCTGGAGTTTGCATGTTCTCCCTGTGCCTGTGTGGGTTTTCTCTGGGTACTCTGGTTTCCTCCTACACTCCAAAGACATGCTGGTAGGTAAATTGGCTCCTGTCTAAATTGTCCTAGTATGTGTATGTATGAATGTGAGTTAGGGACCTTAGATTGTACACCCCTTAAGGGTTAGGGACTGATGTGAATGTACAATATATATGTGTAAAGTGCTGCGTAAATTGATGGCGCTATATAAGTACCTGAAATAAATAAATAACAAGGACTTTTTTTTTTTTTTTTAAAGCATTAGATCTATGTTTTTTTTTATCTAATGCTACCTTGCAGAGGAGAAATGTGGGTCTTATTGACCCTAGATCTCTCCATAAAGAGTACCTGCCACTGCTTATTTCTATCACAAGACATGTTTACATTCCTTGCGATAGCAATAAAAGTGATGAAAAAACAATATTTTAAAAAGGGACAGTGTAAAATTAAAAAAACTAATAAAAATAAATTAAAAGAAATTTTTTTTTTAAAGCACCCATCCCCCTGTGCTCACTCGCAGTGGTGAACGCATACATAGGTCAGGCCCACATATGTAAATGGTGTTCAAACCACACATGCGAAGTATCGTCGCAAACGTCCAAACGAGAGCAATCATTCTAGAACTAGATCTCCTCTGTGACTGTAAACTGGTAACCTGCAGACATTTTTATATTTCAATATTTTGATTAAGGATTTTTAGAAACAGTATACAGAAAGACAGGAGACGGAACCCAGCAACATGACGAGTTGCAGAACATAAGCGACGAAACAGTAACTTCAAGTACAATGTGTAGTAACATAAAATCAACCAATAAAGCGCAATGAGGAATACACTGGTAGCACAAAGTTTGATGGATTATGAGCAAATTGCTCCATAAACAAGGTGGTATGAATAATAATAAAATAGACGAAAATACAGAGAACAAAAAATGAGGAAAGAACTGAAGAAAATAAAGAATAAAACCCAGAAAAAAAATGAGAGGGCCTGTAGAAATTTTTTAAACCGTTGCCTACGGAGACTAAGTACCATAGTTGGGGCCAGTATACAAGCATGCGCAATTTTAAAGCGTAACATGTTGGGTATCTATTTACTCGGTGTAACATCACCTTTCATATTTTACAATTTTTTATTTTTTTTTTTTTTAATACATGAATGTGTATTTTTAACAAAAACAATAGCAATAGAAAATACAAAAAAAAAATATCACTGCACAAATACATATAAAAATTGCAGCCGAATATTTTATTCTCTAGGCCCTTTGCTAAGAGAAATCTATTATGTTTGGGGCTTCCAAGTCATTTTCTAGCAGAGAAACATTGATGTTTACATAGGAGAGACGTATGAGACGTGGCCCAGCAAAGCAGGGGTTAATACACGGATATAGAACACTCGGGTATACACACAGCTCCCTGTACATTCATATGGGTGAGTGCTGCAACCGGCTCCACCCTCACGCAGTGCAGACCATGCCAGCTGCTACTGTGGCACTACAAATCCCAGCACCTCCACTGCAGCCGCTCAGCACATCCGGGTAGGTGTCCAGAGCTCCTCACCTGATCCTCCTCGGACACGTCGATAAAAGCCGGGACACTCATTGCTGCACAGCCCTGTACAACACGCCGCCACCGCCGCTCCGGAAAAGAAGAAAGGAACCGGCTAGCACTTCCGGGTCATGGCGTAGCGTCCCGACGTCTCCCCAAACACGCCTCTGATCTAGACAAAGCATGCGCATTACGCCACTGCAAAGTGTCTCTGCTTGTTGTGGACCGGCGCCATCTAGTTGGTTAGCATTCTATGAAAGCCATAACTTATTGTAAGGAGTAGGATTCCCACCTCATCCTTCTATGACTGAACCAGGGGCGGACTGACCATTTGGAAACTCATGCACTGCCTGAGGGCCCAGGGTCAGTAGGGGGCCCCATGAGATGCCCCTGGTACCTTTTTCATAGGCTTTTTTGAGTTTGGGCAAGGGCCCAGGGGCCCTATGATCCCCTATTGCCCGGGGGGCCCCATGAGTTGTCAGTCCGCCTCTGGACTGAACACATTTGTGACACAGGGACTGGGGTGATTAACTATTTCAATACCGGGCAATTTTCCCCCTTCCTGCCCAGGCCAGTTTTCAGGTTTCAGCGCTCTCACACTTTGAATGACAATTGCGCGGTCATACAACATTGTACCCAAACTAAAATTTTATCATTTTCTTCACACAACTAGAGCTTTCTTTTGGTGGTATTTAATCACCGCTGGGGTTTTTATTTTTTGCTAAATTAACAAAAAAAGACCAAAAATTTTGAAAAAAAAACACGTTTTTCTTTGTTTCTGTTATAAAAGTTTACAAATAAATAATTGTTCATAAATTTAGGCCGAGATGTATTCTGCTACATGTCTTTGGTGAAAATAACCTAAATTAGGATGTATTATTTAGTTTGTAGGAAAGTTATAGAGTTTACAAACTATGGTATAGATCTGAATATTGATCAATCCTGAAGTACTGACAGCCAATCTAATATCTTGAGGTCCAAGAATGTCAGAACAGTACAGATATCCCCCAAATGACCCTTTTTGCAGAGTAGACAGTCCGATGTACTTCATAAGAGGAATGGCGAGTTTTTTGAAGTATTTTTTTTTGTCATAATTTTTCGGAAAATGAAAAAATTTCAAAAATTATTTTCACTATTTTTTTTTTACATACTGTCACCAGTGCAGTACAGCGTCATCATATAACTGGCATGGCGGTGAACAGGGACACTGACTGGTGACAGTATGAAAAAAAAAAATATATATATATATATATATATTTTTTATTATTTTTAATTTTTTATTAAATTTTTTTTATTTTTTTTAAGATTTTTTTTTCATATTTTACTATGACCAAAGTAGTACAATGTTACCATAGTAACATTGTACTACTTTGGGGAAGTGATCAGTATTTTTTTTTTATTTTTTTTTTTTTTATACACAATTTGCTATAAGCAAGCATTTACCAGAATGAAATCGATTCATTCAGTTTTTTTTTTTTTTTTTTTTTTTTTTGTGCTTAGCTGTGATTTGGTCACAGCTAATCACATGACATGTGCATGTGACCTGCTGTGACCATTCACAGCTAGGCACTAGTATACAATGGATGGCATGAATGAAGCCATCCATTGTATACAACTGTCATGTGACCTGCTGTGATTGGTCACAGCAGGTCACATGGTACCAGCAACGGGGGCCGGTACTCAGATCTGTCATCGACTGTGTCCGAGGTACACGGCCGGTGACAGATCGCGCCGCTGTGCCGCTCTGCAGTTGCGCGAACTGAGCATGTGCGGGAGCACGCCAAATGGCGTGCACCCGGAATGCAGAAGCACTTTTGCCGCCGCCAAACGGCCATTGGCCGGGCGGCAAATGGTTAACCACTTCAAGTCCGGACACTTTCACCCCCTTCCTGTCCAGGCCAATTTACAGCTTTCAGGGCTATAACACTTTGAATGACAATTGCGCGGTCATGCAACACTGTACCCATATGAATTTTTTCTCATTTTTGGAGACAGAGAAAACTTTATTTTGGTGGTATTTATTCACCACTGGGATTTTTATTTTTTTTACTATATAAATGAAAAAAAGTGTTTTTCTTATAAAATTTTGCAAATAAATAATCTTTCTTCATAAATCTTGGCCAAAATGTATTTATCTATCTTTTTAGTAAAAAAAACAAAAGTAAAATTATAATTTTTCAAAATTGTTTTTACATATTTTATTTTTTAATATTATTATTTATGGGTTTTTTTTTTAACATACTGTCACCCTAGCAGTATAGTGACACTGTACTACTTGTGGGGGGTGATGGAGATTTTTTTTTCTTTTTTTACACTGATTGCTTTTACACCTATAAAGGCTGTAAAAGCAATAATTTCTCCTTCTCTCTGGCTGCATTCTTGCAGCCATTGAGAAATACTGTGAGAGCTGTGATTGGTCACAGCTTGTCACATGGTACAAGGCTGTTGCAAATAGCCTTCTACCATGTGATCTCTGAGATCATTCACAGATTTCACACGTAGTAAGCAATGAAGTCAGCAAGTGACGTCTTGTTTACTACTGCTCATGTGATCACTGATTGGCCAATCCTTGATCACATGAATCGGGACCTCACACAGAGGTCCTATACAGCGATTGGTGTTCCACTGTGTCCTCCGGACACAGCGGGCGCCGGATCGTGGTGCTGCTCGCCCCCAGGGAGCATGCACAGGCAGTGAATGCGGGTGACGTTTAGAAACGTCAACCAGCTTCGGCAGCACTCCCATCCGGGCGTTTATAGACATGGGACGGTCGGGAAGTGGTTAAGGTGGTAATTAAACTCAGTGCTTTATCTGCATTAAATTAGCTTCAGAACCTGTCATTAATATGTGTTGGGGACAGTGGCGGACTGACCATTTGGAAACTCGGGCACTGCTCGAGGGCCCGGGGTCAGTAGGGGGCCCCATGAGATGCCCCTGGTACCTTTTTCATAGGCTTTTTTGAGTTTGGGCAAGGACACAGGGGCCCCATGATCCCCTATTGCCCGGGGGCCCCATGAGTTGTCAGTCTGCCCCTGCCCTGTTGCATGCATATTCTTAGCCCCCAAGTGCAACCTTACATTTATCAACATTAAACCTCATTTGCCACATAGTTGCCCAATTAAACAGTGCATTGAGTTTGGCTTGTAAATTGAAGACATCCTGTAAGGACATTATTCTACTGCACAGCTTGGTGTCATCTGCAAAGACTGAAATGGTATTTTTAATCCCAGACCCTATATTGTTTATAAATATATTAAAAAGTAAGGGTCCCAACACTGAACCTTGGGGTACACCACTGACAACCCTAGACCATTTTATTTTTTTTAATCTGGTGTTTCTACAATTTTGTCCAACCCTTGTACGTAATATATATGCATATACGTAAACTGATGGCTCTATATAAGTACCTGTAATAAATAGAAAAAAAAATATATATATATGCAGGACTGCTGGCCCTACTTTGTTCTCCATGATGTCAGAGTGCAACCAACTGGCCATTTAGAGAGGAGGAGCCTGCAGGAGAAGTATGTAAAATTGCTGTAGCATTTCTGAGTGTAGCTCGGGGTAAAGTTTCAGTACCAGAAGCGGTAACCCCGAGCTACACTCGGGAACACTATGCGGCGCTGCTCCGGGATCCCTCTTGCACTTACCTTGTCTTGCGCTCCCGCGATGTCCCTCCTGCAGTGTCCCCGGCAATGTAATCCGGCGGATGCCGGCATCTGTCATCTGGGTTCCGTCCCCTGCGAGCGTTGGGACGTACGGGGGACGGAACGGCGGGAAATTTGAAAATGACAAAAAGTGACATTCACTAAAATCACTAAAATCACATAGTAAAATATTACTGTATCAATCCATTTCACATACATTTTGTCCCGAGTGCTTTGTCCTGCGCCCTGTCTGCATTTTTACTGTTCTTTCTGCCTGGAAACTGAGAAACATCCATAGCGTCCAAAAAGTGTCCCTTTAGGTCAAAAGCGGTTTTAGACCAGCTAGAGAACAGCGATAGTAAATCAGAACCACTTGCAGAATTGAGTGATAATGATTCGTGGGGAAATTCATCATCAGACACTGAAAACAATTTTGCGACTTTGCTCAGTGATGTGCGAACTTTGCGTTCTATTTCAAATTTCAGTGTTTTTGGTTTGATTATATTATTGAATTAAATTTATTATTATTATTATATTATTATTATTTTTTATGATTATTTATTAAATTATAATTTATGATTTCAAGTTTTATCCTACCCGGGATGTTTACTAGACTCCTGTTTGGACAGATTTCAGTGAGTTATTCCTAAAAATTACAGGCCTACAATATAAAACGCCAAATTTCCATGCAAAATAATGGTACCGCTTTCAGCACCAAAAATCTGAAAAAATCATACCGCCAGGGAGGTTAAATGGTACCGTAGGCAAAATTTTTTACATTCCCTGGAGTCCAGCTTTAAGAACACACTTCAAGCATCTCTTCTATTGCCTTTGTTCATAGGGCCTTAGTCTGCATGAAATGACATACTCTTCCAAAATATTGATTGTTAGCACTGGGCTGCGGTTGTGTAGGCAAGAAAGTAGTACAGCTTGTCCTTGTTCACATGAAGTAAGTGAATCTTGAGTTCTCCCCTTGGAATGTCAGTGAGCTCTTTGCCAGTAAAGCAGCAGCTGGATGATTACTTATTAAACGAGGCATCCTGAGGCTGGTACTGCTACCCTGATAGAGATATGTTTACACAAGCCATGAATCATATGTGCGTGTGCAAAAAAAAACAACAAAAAACTGCTGGAAACATTTTTATCTGATGTGGAGAAAGTGGGGATTTTCAATGAAACAAGAAATGTTTTTTTTGTTGTTTTTTTTTGTTGGGAGACATACATTTACAGAGATCAGAATTCAATGATCTGCAACGACTTATAGAGTTATTCTGGAATTCCTATGAACTTGCGAATACGTCAAATATGACATGGGGTGTAGATTGTAATTAGAAGCAACCTGTTGTGAGAGACATAGGATTCTGTTACTCTGTTACTGCCTGCCTTCTGAAAATGTTAGCTGCTTGGCCGTCCAGGACTTAAGAAAAGTAGAAAGTTTAGGACTTTACAGTGATTCTGTTTGTGGTACGCACGTTCCAAATAACTGACAAAAAGAAATCGCTGACAAAAGAAAGTAATAAAACCAAACCAGAATTATCGCCATGCAACTTATATCTACATGTTGCTTTCACAACAAGTTTAAAGGATACGTTCACCTTTGGGAACATGTTACATGTTCCACTTGTTTTTAGCGTGGAACATGTAACATGCTCCCAATGCAGGGGTGTATTTACCACAAAGCAAACAAGGCATTTGCCTAGGGCGGCATTTTTCAGGGGGGCAGCAGCATCCCCCCCGGAAGAAGGGATGGAGGAAGGGACTCATGGGGCATGGGGACCAAGTGAGCTCCGGGAGAGATTGCAGGCTGCTTGATGGTGTGTGGAGAGACCAACTCTCGTTCCGGTTAATGTCCAGAGCTGTGAAGGTGAGTGTCTTTCTCTCTCTCACCGGGGGGGGGGGTGTTAGTGGAAGACTTTCTCAGGGGGTGGGCAGGGGTGTTGTTGGTCAGTGTCAGGCTCTCTCCGTAGGGGGAGCTGATTTTTGTGCACAAAACCTAAATACGCCACTGTCCCAATGCTGAAACTGCCGCCCAATTCCCCCCCCCCCCCGTGACAGCAGTACGAGGAGAAGTTCCCTGTACAAGCTGTCACTTTTTGAATAGAGCGTGGCCCACATGGATGCATCCTTGATTCACAAAGTTCTATGAATGAATGAACTACAAGTCCCCATAGCCCTAGCAGCTGTCAGCTTGTACTTCTCAATGAACCACCAGTGCTGTGGAGTACCGTGGTAGTTCATTGATTCTTCCTGTCAGTATATCCGCTTGCCTGTGCAAGGGCAAGCAGATATACTGGTAGATCTGCAGGAGACCTGCCTGGCACCATCGAGTTTCTATCCATCCAGTTCTGAGATTTACACAGCGCTGCCACACAGTATAGCTTTGTCTGGCAGTGGAGTATCCCCCCCTTCTCTCCCTCCTCTATCTCCCTCCCTTCTCTCCCCCCTCTATCTCTGCCCTCCTCTATCTCTCCTTTCTCTTCCCCTCTATCCCCCCCCCTTCTCTCTCCCCTCTACCTCCCTCCCCCCTTCTCTCCTCCATCCCTCGCCATGTTAACACACAGGGACAACTTTAGTTTTATTGGGAATGGCTGATAATCTGAAGGCTGTATAAACTGATGGAGTTATTACTCACAAGTTTGTGGTGCGTCTGTTTTAACTCCTTCCTGCCCAGCCCCAGCATCCCTTTAGGGCACAAGTGTCAAACACAAGGCCCGCGGGCCGAATGTGGTCCTCCAAGCCATTTCATGTGGCCCTCGTACATCTCCTGCAGCTCCTCCCTCAGCTTCTTCCCAGCAGCAGCACAAGGTATGGGGGGGGGGTGCACTGTGATGTAAGGCAGGGTGGGGGGCTCTAAATATCTGTTTACAATTATTATGAGAATAATACAATTCTATGCCAGTTGAAAAAAAGCATACCGATGGTATCATCCAAATGAAATTTTGATGGAGACTGCTCACCATAGCAGAACTATGTTCTGTCTGAGCAGCCTCCAATAAAGTTTCTTGTGGATAATACCAGTGGTGTGCGACTCTCCTTTTTAGATTTCATCTGCTACAGGTACTTGAGGGGACTCCATGCCGGTCTGCACCTGCCCTTCACAGCTTAAGTCTTCAGTTATTACTAAAATTAGTAATAATCACATTCAGAGGCAATTATTTATTATGATAAAGTGTAGATACATTTATATAGTCTTACAGATACAACTGGCCCTTTGAGGGCAACCATAAAGCTGATGTGGGCCGCAATGAAATTGAGTTTGACACCCCTGCTTTAGGGGATTGTTCACATGAACTTTGGTCTCTGAATAGCGATCTGCATTCAGCAGTTGGCAGGCAGTGAGATGTATAATCTCCTCACCACCTGCTTTAACCCCTAGAACCCTACACTAGTGCACTGCAACCACGTGCATTGCATGGAGTTGTGCGGTGCTTGCAGAGCAGCCTCATTCACTTGAATGGATTACCTTCAGCAGGCACTGTGCCTACAGAAAGCAACGGAGGACAGAATTTCTTCCACGCCACAAAACATCACAGTGGCAGTATGTGTACACCCCAACCCTGTGTTGCCAACCATGCATAAATTTAGACAGTTCGTATAAAACAAACACTTTTCTCCTATTTGCAAATGTTCATGGACAGGAGAAAAGTGCCCGAAAAAAATCCCTTTGTCATGGGCTCTGAATGCCAGACTCTGATGTGAGGGGGTACTGTGCTTGAGTCTGATGTAAGGGGGCAATCTGCTGGACTCTGATGTAAGGGTGCACTTGTCAAACTCTGATGTAAGGGGGCACTCTGCTGGATTCTGATGTAAGGGGCAATCTGCTGGACTCTGATTTAAAGGGGGCACTCTAGACTCTGATTTAAGGAGGATCCTGCAGACTGTAATGTAAGGTGGTTGTACTCTGGGGATACTGATTTAAGGTAGGACTCTGATGTGAATGTGGCTCTTATCCTGACTGCTACACTCCATTAGTTAGTTTTGTTTTTTACTTACTCTGACCCCTGTACTCTGTACATTATGCATAGATATACATAGACATGATCAAGGGAAATTACTCCTGCTGAGGTAATGTGTGCTGAAAGCGAAGAGCCTTTAATACCACCAGAATAAACTGATCAGTGCTGCCAGCTGTAGCCAGCGGTGCCAATTATGCAGAAATTTTCCTAGAGGCTGATTGTACAGAAGTCGATTGGTGGTTCGCCTGCTGTACAACCAGCCTGCCCATACATGGACTGAAATTCAATTGGTCCCTACTGAAGCAGATTAACTTTGATCCAAGTATGGCCGCCTAGGGCAGAAATATCCTTTTTTGTGTGCATAAAACATATGATTTGGAAACAATTAATAAAAAAATATGTTCCTTTGTCCTG